CTAAGCCTCTGGAGTGCGAAGTGCTGCTGTGGGTTGGGAGGGTGTTTAGCAGGAGAGAAGGCATGTTCTACAGAGCACATGTAGGTACCTGGCTGCACAATATTGCTTTTACTCAACAGTTCACCCATGTAAAAATAGCATGGAGGCAGTGTCTGACCTCCTCCAGCCCCACAAGGGGGAGGGAGAACTAAGATCAACAGCCTAAGGCTGATTCTTACGAGGCAGCGATCAGACATGCCTTCTCTCTCCGCCATTTTTACCAGCTCTGACACCAGCCATCCCTCCCACAGCACTCCACTGGTTTCGAGAATCCATTGCAATGGCCGCACAGAACTCACAGTCAATTCTCACAATTATGGGGCTTATTAGGGAATTAACAGTTACAATTGAGGCTCGGGAACACTCAGGATACAGTTCTTCCACCAGGATAGCCTCTCCCCAGCTGTGCTCGCAGGCACGCCTCTCCCTGGCCCTCAGTGTCTGCCCAAAGGCACTCAGCTTTCTTTCTCCATGGGCCAGGAAGCCCACTGCGCCGTCTCCTGCTGCCAGGTCTCTGCTGCTGGGTTTCTTCTGCCACCACTTCTCACCGTCTTCAGGGTTACAGCTCGCTCTCTTTCTCAGTCTCCTGCTTCCAAGAACTTCTCAGTGCAGGGATCCTGGGTCCAAAGGATGCACTTTCCTGGCTGTTCTTCCTTGGTGGTGGTAGGATCCTCCTCTCTGCTCTGGAATTGGCTCTCTTTTAAGGCAAAACTGACCAATCCCCTTGGTGGGCGACAATAGCCTATCACCCAGTCACCTGGGTGGGAGTTACAAGACCATAGCTAGAACAGCCACACAAAAATAATCAATCACACCACAACCCACTTACACCACTCAGAATGGTCCTCAGGACCAAGATGAGCTCGGGGGCTGCCTCCTCTGGCTTTAGTCAAGGACCAGTGAGGCTACAGGGAGACAAGGCCAAAGTTGACCATTTTATGTAGAGGCCGACGGGATATGCCCACTTTGTGGGAAGAAGAGCCTAGGTGCTGGAGAAGGTCTAAATGCATTTTCCTGTGTGACTGAATAGTTATTCCAGCCATTTCCACTCGGAGGAGAAGAGCCTGGGAATTTAGACCCATGCATGTCTACCAGGTTGCACGTTTATGTTTTATACAGTGTGAAAACCCAGAAACCAGTGAGGGCCAGAAATCCACTTAGGCAGATACAGAGTCCACTTGAGACAATTCATTAAGATAGAGGCCTTTTCTAGGCCATTTATGAAAGCCCCTTTTGTAATCATTTAATAATGGTAGGCATATATACTAGTGCTTCAACAGGTTCTGGAGCCCTGGTGGCGCAGTGGTTAAGCACTCAGCTGCTAACCAAAACGTTAGTGGTTCAAACCCACCAGCCACCCCACGGAGAAAGATGTGGCAATCTGCTTCCGTAAAGATTACAGCCTTGGAAACCCTATGGGGCAGTTCTACTCTGTCCTGTAAGGTCGCTAAGAGTCAGGATTGACTCAGTGGCAACGGGTGCATGCACAACAAGTTCTTGACATGACCATGACATGTAGCTAGTGAGCTGCAGAATTGGTATACAACAGTAAAAGACGCTCCCAGAGCTAATCATACAGAACAAAGCTGGAAGATGCCCTCCTTGGCCCTGAGAGCTCTTGGAGGCCACTGTGGTCTAAGGCACTGAGGTGCCATTTAGCTGTGACCACAACTTGAAGGCATAACAAGTCCTATTCTAGAAGCCATGCTGCCTTCTCTGCATAATTTATTGGACTTGTTAGTTATGCAAAGGCTCTTAGCAAGGGTTTATGTCTTTTGTAGACTATGGCCTAGAAAAGGCAAGGCAGAATGTGATGTTTTAGGGCCATTTTGGTTTCCGGGCACAATTCCAATCTTGAAGAGAGATAAAACATATGAAGTTCTACATATTCTCTGTAAGTAACAGTGCAATAGACCTGATTTGCTATTAATATAGATTAAAAGTAGATTTTTGAGTAAGGTTCAATTCCTCTTCCAACTTCCCTTCTGATCTTCTTATATATAACATTTAGTGACCTTTTAACAGCCCGGGGATGCTTTACAGTGTCTTATTCTTGATGCCTGTTCAAAGGTTTCTATTTCATATTCACAGCTGGCATATGCAAATATAGGTAAAGATTATGATGCCTCCCAAGTAGCATTATGGTCAATAAATTACTCCTTGGGTGAACATGCTGTCATGTCAGCCAAGCATGTCTTCAACTAGTTGCAAGAAAAAAGTCTTCTTGCAACAAGCAGTTGGCCTGTGTCATTCACACAGAGCTGGATGCTCAGGTTCTTCTTGACTCAGGTGTGATGTTTAACCAAGGTCAGTCTGCTGGCAAGTAGTCTGTCTGTCAGTGCCTAAGGGCTTCTATCTTGGGGGGATGTCAGAGGTGTTCTTTGTGTGGACTTTGGGGAGGGTGGTGCAGGAAGAGTTAAACACCCATGATTTCCTGGGAGAACCCTGTGATGCAGGAAAACACATATCTTCATTCAGCAGTGAAGAGACTTGGTCTGTATCCTGACTCTACAACTTAATTGCTTGGTGGCCTTGGATAAGTCACTTAACTTCTACATAATTGTTGTCCTTTGTAAACCAAGAGGGTTGTACTGGAAGTAGCCTTCAGAAATGTTTTCACTGTAGTTTTTTTCTTCACCTAAATTGCATAGATGCCTAGTGTAGAGTTGTTTCAGTTGAGGGGAAATAGGACTGATCCACAGATCAGTCCCCTTGCAACTGCCCTGGAAGCAGTCTTTAAATTGCTGGGTCCGGGATCCGGAATACCCTGCACAATTCCTCGAGAGTACCTTACATCTGAACGAGTCCCTGTGCCTTAGCTTCCAAGCAATGGGTGGTTTACTACTGAGAGCGAAGCCCCCTGAGCCCAGAAACCATGTCGTCTTTGTTCATCACTGTATTCTTAGCGCTGGAAAATGGTTGTTGTTGTTAGGTGCCGTTGAGTCAGTTCCAACTCATAGCAACCCTGTGTACAACAGAACAAAACACTGCCCAGTCCTGTGCCATGCTCACAGTCGTTACGTTTGAGCCCATTGTTGCAGCCACTGCGTCAGTCCATCTCATTGAGGGTCTTCCTCTTTTTCTTTGACCCTCTACTTTACCAAGCATGATGTCCTTCTCCAGGGACTGATCCCTCCTGATAACATGTCCAAAGTATGTGCGACGTAGTCTGGCCATCCTTGCTCCTAAGAAGCATTCCGGTTGTACTGCACTCGATAGTGTTTGTTGAATGGAGCAATGAATCAAGCAGTGAACAACCAAATTAACTTCAGAAAGCCCTATCTTTATGTTACTAGTAAATGGAGATTTTTATTGCAACTTTTTTTTTTTTAATTGTATTTCAGGTGAAGGTTTACAGAACAAATAGTTTCTCATTAAACAGTAGTACACATATTGTTTTATGACATTGGTTAACGACCTCACGACATGTCAACCCTCTCCCTTCTCAACCTTTTTTTTTTTTGGTGAAAATAAACATAGCCAAAGATACACCATTTCAAAAATTTCTACATGCACATTGCAGTGACATTCGACTACGCTCTTCCAGTTGTGCTGCT